AGACACAGCTGAAGACAGAACAAACCAGAGAATGAGAAGGAGCCAGAAGATTAGAACAGATTTCTAGAGTTAGTTTCAGGCCAAGCAGAGCAATTCAGTCAGAAACTGAGAGAAGCCAGTGTGATCAGTTAGCTTGGAGAGGAGTTTAACCTAGAACAGCTGAGTTGAACCAGCCTGCCAGAGTTCAAAAAGAGTTAGAAAAGGTGATCTTGTTCATCAGTAAGTCTCAGAGGCTGAAAACATTCCAGACCTAGATTAGATTGTATGGAGGCTAAAAGCTTCCAGGACTAGGTCTAGGTTAGCAGACAGAGGCAGTAAGCCTCAGAGACAACAGTTACATATGGTGAATAAAAGTTACTTTTATAGCATGGCTTGCCACAGTTTAAGCAAATTATAATCCCAGTCCCCATCCATATCCGAAATGAAAAATGTCTGAGATTCTCAGCTCCAGAAATTGAAAACCTGATGGCAGCTTTGACTTAGTGACCTCAGCCAAAAGAACCAGAACCATGGGGTAGTGGGTCCAGGAGCCCAGGGTGGAGGCAGGAGACACCAGGGTCAGTGTGATAGAACCAGCAGTGTTCCCTTGCACTTCAGACAAGCCTCCCAAGTCTCCCATCCCCAGACTTCTCCAACATATTCCCTACAGAGCAAATGGTCAGCAAGGCCTGTCCAGGGTGATGGGGCTCTGGCTCTGGAAAGGGGCACCACTTGATGTACAGGGCTTAATATTCAAATAGGCCCCATTGTGCCAAACAGAGCTGTCACAGCAAAGGCAAACAGGTCAGACACGGGGTTCCGGTGCTCTTTGGTCTAACCCCATCATCCAGCCAATGATTCAGAGTACTGTATTAGAAAATTCCAAACTCTAGCCCAGCCTCCCTTAGTGTCATGAAAGTGTGAAAACAGGCCATGCTACATGAACCTGGAATGCGTTTCAAACACACCCATATGACTTGCAGGTCTCCAACTGTCCAGTTACCCTGGACCCTACAGATTTGGGGAAGGGGACCTACTTGTGTTCTCCTGTCTTTGTCACCACCCAGCTGTACAAATGGGTATTCACAGCACATCTACTAATTGTCTAATTTACAGTGTATAGACAAGGGGCCTGAGACACTGAGACAAATCACTAGCCTGTGAAAATAATATGGCTGACTCCCTGTGGCAGAGAAGCCATTCTGTGTTTCGGTGTCTCCCAGGGCATCGTGCAGTGTCCTGGACTCCTCATCTGTGGTCCTTCCTCAGCCCGTAAGCATCGGTGCTCTGGTGGGTTTAGAACAATGTTTTTAGTCACTATGTATGAAACAATCGAAATCAAGGAGATGCTTTCCATACTGAGCTGGGCACAGTTCACATTAGCAGGTCTGTAGGCGACCTTTGTGAACTTTATTCTAGTTTGTAATCAGGTCATCTCAGGCTGATGAACTTGAAATGGGCCATATCCATATCCACAAACTCACTGACATTAGTACAAGTGCCTTGTGGTGGGACTTGAGGACTTCCAAAGAATTAAGGGTTGCTTGTTTAAGATTTATTATTTATATAGCATTCTGCCTGCATGTGTGTCTGCACACCAGAAGAGGGCACTAGATCTCAATAGAGATGATTGTGAGCCAACATGTGGTTGCCAGGAATTGAACTCAGGACCTTTGGAAAAACAGTCAATGCTCTTGACCTTTGAGCCATCTTTTCAGCCCCAAGAGATTTTGACAAAGACTTATGGAAGGTACCTAGTACCAGAAGAGCTTTACACCAGCTAAACATAGGGGTGATCAGGCTCTGATTCCCAGCAGCAGGCCAGGGTCCAAGTCAGAACCATTGGTGCCTTAGACCCAGATATAAGCCCTTGGGCCGCTTTTCCAATGTGCTCATTAAGCCCCACTCACTGTTCTAGTCTATGCTGCAGCCCCAGAACCCAAGATTCCTGAGCCTGCTGCATTCAGGGCCTCTTGAATCCTGGTGGCCTGAGGATAGTACCTCTGTGCGAGAGGATGAACTTGGATTGACTGTGAGATGGTCAGTATTAGCAAAGATGCTCTTCCCAGGGTGGGGGGAGGGTTGCCAGGGGATAAAGGGAGTTGAGGGGAGAGTTGGGACTGCTGTCCTACTGCTTCCCCCTGGTCAAACTCCAAGGAGACTGAGAGTTCTAAACTTGCAACTGGCTTTCCAGAAACCAAACCAGGTTTGTGCAATGTGTGTGTGTGTGTGTGTGTGTGTGTGTGTGTGTGTGTGTGCGTGCGTGCTGGGGATTAAGACCGAGGCCTTTTTAATGCAAAGCACATGAGTGACAAAATCTACTTTTTCAGCTTTATAGATATCACTTGTGTGTTCTTACTCCACTTCCTCAGTACCCTGGCCAGGATAGACCTAGGACAGAGTCCTTTTGTCCAGTTGTTAGCAAGACGATGGGGTCTAAGCTGGCCCCATTTTTCCCCTCATCTGCTAGAACACCTACTAGTATTATGATAATGCCATGAATTCTGTACACAAACACCTAGCAATATGTCTCATCATTTTCTTACCCTCTCTTACCACAGTATAAGGGGCAGGCGGGGATGGGGTGGGTTGAGGGACTCCAGAAACCCCATTATATCACGTTGTACCTTATTGAATACTGGTCATTTTGGCAGAGTTCCTGGGGCCACCCTGGCACCCACTTTCTGGTTCAGCAGGAAACCACAGGCTCAGATCACAGCCCCAGGACCACCTTATAGAAAAGGCTTCCTCAGCAAAGTGGGTAGAGTCCTTTACACTGCTCAAGAGACTGAAGATGAAGCGCAGACTCCCCACCCCCAGAACTGCGCAGGTCCTCTATGGCCATACCTGCCCTAGGCTCAGCTCTGAGTAGAAAGAAAGGGTAGCAGTTACGGGGAGTCAGTAATTACACTGAGTAAGAGCAACAAGAGCCTCATGAGAGTAATGAACCCCCCACATAGAGAGCTGGACAGGTTCAGGCTCATGGGTTCAGGGCACCTGGGGAAGGTTGTGCCTTCTTCCCAGCTTCTCCAGGTATATCACTGGAGATATCTGCTCTGGGAAGTCCGGGCCCATAAGAAGGAAGAAGGGCGCTGGGGTGATGGAGGGGGAGGGGAGATCCAGTGGATAAAACAATACCCAAATTTGGAAATATTTGAAAAGCTCTAGAAGAAAAATGTTTTGGGATGTCTTTTGCCCCCTTTCAAGGACAAGTAAATACATAGGGTTCCTATTGCTGTGATGAAGCAACAGGACCAAAAGCAGCTTGGAGAGGAAAGGTTTTGCTTGGCTTACCTATCCTGAATGACAAGCCACTGGGAGAAGCCAAGGCAGGCACTCAAACTGGGCAGGAACCTGGAGGCAGAAGCTAGCGTGGAGGCCATGAAGGGGTGCTGCTTACTGGCTTGCTTCTTTTGGCTTGCTCAGCCTGCTTTCTTATAGAACCTAGGGAACCAGCCTAGGGACTGCACCCCCTGACACACACACACAATGGGCTGAGCCCTCCCTACCAATCGCTAATTAAGAACTACGGCTGGATCTTACAGAGGCATTTTCTCAATTGGGGTTCCCTCCTTTCAGATGATTCTAGCTAGGATGTACATGTTCACCCACAGTTTCTCTCTCTCTCTCTCTCTCTGACACAGGGTCACATGTAGCCCGGGTCTGCTTCAAATGTGATAATCTATCCTAGACTGATCTTGAGCCTCTGAACCCTAGCAATCCAAGCATGTGCCACCACATCCGGTTTACCGGGGGTTTGACACAGGGCTTCCTGCGCGCATGCTACCATGCTACCAGCGCTCTACCAACCAGAATCCTTCCCCAGCTCCACGCCAGGGTGTTCTCGGTTTTCACGGATCTAAAAAGGAACCACTGGTGCAAATTACAGATCTTGCTGCTTCCTGGTTCTGTGGCATTTCCGCCTGGCTTGGGGTCAGAAGGACACGAGTTTCCAGATTCCCCTGACAGGAATGGTTCTTGTGAGAATACCTGGGAGTCTTTGATGGATGCACTACAGGTGCCAACGAATCCCGGCACCTGAGAGCCTGTCAGCTGTCTCCAGGATAAGCCTATCAGTGTACAGATGAGGAAAGTGAAGCCTGGAGTGTTATCACCAGAACGGAAAAGCGAGTCATCTGGGTTAAGTGAGGGCGTCTGAGACTACCTGTTGGAAGGGCTGGGGACAGCCTCTCAGGATGGAAAGCCCAGCAGTGGCAAAGCCCTCTGCTGAGGTCAAGAATAGACTGGGAAGCACCATACAAGAAACTTGTGGCCAACACAGTTGTCAGGCTCTCCGGCATCTCCGAGTGGGCCCTTGCCTCTGATGAGACTACAAAGACAAGCTCCGTGTGGTCGCTTTTCCTCCCGATCCTCTCTCTCCCTCCAGCAGCACTGCGCCTGTGCGCTTGTGCACCTTCCTCAAGACAGTTCGGCTCTGTTTAAGTTTTTTTCAAAAGTGACGGCCTGAGGGTAGGAGTGAGCCCAGACCTGGCGGGCAAGTACTCCGCAACCTCGCAAGGCTGTGTGGAGGAGGGTGTTGATAATCAAACACGACAGAGTCATTGTGGATGGTACTGGAGAGGCAGGCAGAGATGTGCAAGCTGAAAACGCGCGCCTAGGGTAGAGAGGCACCCGAATGAATCCACGTCGGGCCCCGAAGGTTTCCTTCCACCCGCAGGCAGGGCTCTCCCTGCCCTCGCTGGAGAGCTGTCACCCACCTGGTGGCAGGTGACCCACCCCCAGGGTTCCAGTCTCCTCCAGGTACTAACCGCACGGAGGGACGACAAAGGTTGGTAAGGCGAGGACTTAGGGCTTCCCTCGCCTCCTCCTCCGGAATCCCCGCCGGCATCTCCCGGCCTTGGGTTCCAGCTGTCCAGACCACCAGCGGGGCAGGGGACCAGCCCGCTCGCCTTTGGGAGGGGGCGGGACCTGCAAGCGGGGCGGGCCGCTGCCATTGGCTGGGAGGGCGAGGGCGGAGGGCCGAGCGGGGTCGAGTCCCGGGAGCGCGCGGCCGGCCGCAGACGCGCAGCCATCGGGAGAGCCAGCGCCCGAGCGCAGAAGCGCCCGCCATGAGGGAGATCGTGCATATCCAGGCGGGCCAGTGCGGGAACCAGATCGGTACCAAGGTGGGCCCGGGCGCGCGCTGCGCTCCCGCGGGTGGGCACTGGGGGTGGCCGGCCTCGGAGGACCCCTGCCCTGCTCCTCGGAGCCGGGTTGACCCCAACGCACTCCTGGCGGGGAGCGAGCCGCAGACACTGGGGAGCTGCCCTGTGTCCCTAGGGCACACCGAGGGATCCGGCCCGGAGAATGGGCCACCGGCCCCGAAGGGCGCGCCCTCCAGAACTGGCCTGGGGACTGGATCCCGGGTTCCTGCGGGGACCCGGCCACCCGGCAAGGAGACTGGGCCACCGGTCCCGGCGGACCGACCGGGGGTTCCGGCTCAGGCGTTGCGCCCGGGGGTCTGAAGGCTCGGGGAGCCGGCCACAGGTCCCGGGGAGGGGGGTCCTTGGGTGGCGGGGGCTCCCTGGGCTCCGGGTCTGACTGTCTGTCCCTTCGCCGCGCCCTCGCCAAGTTTTGGGAAGTGATCAGCGATGAGCACGGCATCGACCCGGCCGGAGGCTACGTGGGCGACTCAGCGCTGCAGCTGGAGAGGATCAGCGTGTACTACAATGAGTCATCCTGTGAGTCGCGCGGCTCCGGGCCGGCTCCCCTCCTCCTCCTCCTCCGCTGCCCGGCCTCCGGCGCCGGCACCTGGCCTTTTCCCGGCTGCCTCTTGGGCACGTCCTGACAAGGACCCGACCGTACCCTGCCGGGGACCCTGGGCTGGACCCGGAGGGGGAGGCGCTTGGGGTGCGGTCTCCGCGCCGGGAGAGTTCTCGCTGGGAAAAAAGTTCGGGCGGGATGGAGCGGGATGCCCGGCCACTCCCTCACTCCCCCTGGAGCGGGAAACCCGCCCTAGGTCTTTTCAAACTGTGGGATCCGGCCTATCCCGAAGGCTTGAACCAGACCGTCCGTTGAGGTTGTGAAATGACACCATCGCTCCCAGGCCATCCTTCTCTTAAGCTTTTCAAGAATGGAAGAGAGTAACCGAATGGAATGGGGTTTTGAAGGCATCTTTTATTGGGGATGTTAGCTAAAGATGTTAGCTAATTTGAGAAACACTTATTTAAATGATTTTATCTGGTCCTTTGCCTAAAATTATATTCATCGGATGCTAAAACTGCAGGCAGCTGTGAGTGATTAATGGGGAGATTAGTAAAATTCCAGACACTGGGTAATCCCAGTTTGGGAAGAGTAGCACCTCTGTCCTCTGAACTGTTTTTACAGGCAATTTTTATTATAAAAGTGTGACACACCCCTCACAAACCAACAAAATCCCAGGGCATAGAAAGAGCCCGGAAATGACCTGTGCCGGCACTCCCGTGGTACGGCGTTGAAAGTGCATCCAAGACACTGTCTGGGGTCAACAGATTTTTAGAGTGGCTTCCCACCTGTCCACCCACAACTGGGAAAGGCAGTAGACGTGGGACAATCACGGGTTGCTGAATCATGGGATACTGTTCATAGAAGTAGACATGGAAGTCCTAGGCAGCCCTAAAAGAAACGCCCGTGCGCACTGCACTTCCTCTTATTCAACGGGTGACCTTTGTGACCACTCTTGGCTCGGCGTGGTCACGTGCAGAACCGAGCAAAATCCATCCTCCCTCAGAACGACAGCTTGCCCCTCTCATGCAGTGCTATGCAGGCACAACCTCACTCAGACGAATGGAGAACTTCCAGGGCCACAGAACCCTGGGAGGAGCCGCTTGGACAGCTTAGGCACATGTGTGTGTGTTCGAATGTGAGTGGGGCGGGGGCGGAGAGAGGCAGGGGGAAGGCACTCTTTATTCCGGGCAGCTAGAGAGGGCCAGCTAATGGGAAAGGAGGTCTGAACTGGAAAATGCAGCGGCACAAGGCAGGAGGGTTCATTCCTCACTGATCCTGCTTGTGGCTCAGTAGGCCCTCATCCCGAGGTTAAGTTCTGTGATAAAGTCATCTGCCAGGCAACTCTAACCTGGTGGGGCTTGCTGAAAAGAAGTACATTTCCCCAGAAACCTGGAAGTAGCTCTTGTGGGTTTTTTTCTTTTTTTTCCCCACCTCCAGCTCAGAAGTATGTACCCAGGGCTGCCCTGGTGGATTTGGAGCCGGGCACCATGGACAGTGTGAGGTCTGGGCCTTTTGGGCAGCTCTTCCGGCCGGACAACTTTATCTTCGGTAGGTTCCATCTCGCTTGCTTGCCTTTCTTGTTTCCTTTTCGTGTATTTATTGTGGTGAACCCAAGGGACTGAATTGGGATTGTCCACTTGTGGCCAGGGGTACGGAGCAGTGAATGAGAGACCTTATCTCAGACAAAATGGAAGATTGTCCTCTGACCTCCACAAGTGTGCACTGGGGTTGACCTATTCTCAACTGCCTCCCTCCTCCTGACTCAGATGAGTGGTGTTCTGGCAAGGGCGACCAGATTGGTAGAGATTTGAGACAGGCTGGCTTATAGCCAGGGACTGGTTTGAAACTCATTATGTAGCTAAGGATGACTTTGAACTGAGCCTCCTGCTTCCACCCCGAAGGTGCTAGGATTGTAGACACTGGCCTCCAAGCCCGATGTAAAGCACAGCCCTTCAGAAGTAGAGTCAGCTGGGAGTGTGACTTCCAGCTGAGAACCAGTTAGGCTAAGAACCAGTTTCACTCTGGGTTTCTGGCAAAAAGGAAAAAAAAATCATATTCTTTTTTCCCCCTGACTACTAAATTCAAGAAAGGAAATGACCCCACGTCTCTGTCCCTGAAAGGGTGTTCACATACCCCTCCATTCCAAACTAGTGTTTATTTTTAATTTTTACTTTGCCTTTATTTCAAGCAAAATCCAGCACAAAACACATTATCACAAAATTGAAAACCAGGTGTGGTGGTTCATTCTTTTAATCCCAGTGCTTGGGAGGCAGAGGCAGGTGGATCTCTGTGGATCTGAGGCCAGCTCAAAAACTAGAGTGTCAAAACGATTTCACATGTTGTGTCCATCGCCGTATAATTGTGGTCTCCCTTAACCTGTCTTTATTCCGATTGTCTTCCTTTTTTTTTTTTTTTTTTAAAGGGGAATGTCTAGACAGCGTTTCTCTGTGTGTAGCTCTGGCTGTCCTGGCACTCGTTTTGTAGACTAGGCTGGCCTTGAACTCACAGAGATCTGCCTGCATCTGCCTCCCAAGTGATTAAGTGATTGCCTTCTTTTTAACTGTACCATTATGTAGATTTTTTTTCACTGAATATTATAAACCATACTCCATATTAGTGTGTCGTTCTAAGGTCTGTAGTTTTAATTGGCACATAATGTAATTAGTTGATAGTAGTTGGCTTTATAAGACCAATTCTCGATAATTATTTGACAGGGAAGCAGTGCTTGCTCTTATATAGTAGTGAGGGGACTCAGCTGGTTAGAGTGCTTGCTGTGCAAACACCTGAAGTTGGATCCCTGACACCCCAGCACTCCAGCGCTTACCTGTAATCCCAGTTCTGGGGAGAGAGAGCCAGGTGGATACCTGGGGTTTACTCAGCTAACCAAACTAGCCAGATTGAGAGTTCCAGTTAAGCCAGAGACCCTGTCAATTGAGGAAGATACTGCTCTCTGGCCTCCTCTCATGCACACGCACACACACACACACACACACACACAGAATACTGTAATGATCTGGAAGTGGCATAGGCCTGAAATTCCAGTACTTTAGATTTGGAGGCAGAAAGTTTGGGAGTTTAAAGCCAGTCTGGGGTCTGGAGAGATGGCTCAGTGGTTAAGAGCACTGGCTGCTCTTCTTGAGGTGCTGAGTTCAATTTCTTAACACCACATGGCAGCTCACAACTGTCTGTATCTCCAGTTCTGTAACTCCTGTAATGCCAGGGGTTCTCACACCCTCACACGCCCAGACATACTATGCAGGCAAAACACCAATAATGAAATAAAGATAAATAAAATTTAAAAAAAAATAGATAAAGCCAGTCTGGCCTGTGTGAGACCCTCTCACATGAGCCAACAAAATACCGGGAGCACTGAAGATATTACATTGGCTTAGTGGTTAGGAATGCTTGCTGATCAGTCATGAGAACTGGAGCTCAGAACTCAGCACTCACTTCACAAGCCTATTACCCCACGCATACTTGTACAAGGAGAGTAGAGGCAGGAGAACCGCTGGGACTTGCTGCCTTCTAGCCTGGGAAATAGAGAAGAAACAAAACAGAAGCCCCAGACAATTAACGGACAATTTTTCTCTGGCCTTTAGGAATGGATGCTTTCACAAGTGTAACACAAACATAGGTCCACACATAAGTCTTTCTTAAAAAGAATATGAACATTTCGGCCCACAAAAGTTCTTTTTCTGGCTGATTTCAGATTCTCAAGTCAAATAAACATTTAGGAAGACTTGGCCCGTCTTCCCACTGGATGAGGGCCACCGCTGTCCAATTCTTTCTCTGCCTTTACCTGAACTTAAGGACGCCGACATCCTAGTAGTGAGTTATTGCCTTGAGCACTGCTTTATCGTGACTGGGGTGTGGCTCAGTGGCAGGGCGTGTGCTTAGGACTAGGCAGTCCTGGGTTTGATTCCCAGGACCACAGAAACAAGCTAAGGGAGGAAAAAAGTCCACCCTGAGTCACAAACATAACCCTGAGGGTGGCCGTTCTGTGTATAAAGCATCTATGCCAAAGAGAGAAACTTGGACATGGCACGGGAGAGACTCATCCTGTCTCTGTGAACACAGGGAACCTGAAGCCCTGTGTTAAAATAGCCGACCAAGCGCTTCCCAGGAAGAAAGGGTGTCTGGCTAGACCGCAGGCGCGTAGCCCATTCCCACTTTGTGAGAACATCAGATGCGTGTACACCAGCTCTGCACTGCTTATGATGTTCAAGTTACATGGGGATTTCTAGAATGTCGATGATGTCTTTCTTCACGTGGGTAGTCGCCATGTTATTGTCCATAACATTTTACATACCTTAAGTCTGTTTTAAGAAAAATGTCAGGTTCCACGGAGGTGTGTAGCGGAGTGGACGGCTTGTCCGCGGCACAGTCGTGTCTTCTCTCCATCTTTTCTTGGTCCAGGCCGACCTCCTGGGTGCTGTGTCCCAGCTGCAGCGCTGTTATGAAATTGGATCTTCCCGCTCTGGCTTCTGAGAAGGCGGTTTCTCATAGCAGCCAGTTTTCTTTGGTTATATTTCTTTGAACTGAAAAGTAGAAGGTTGTTAAGGAAGGTCTGTAGTCACTGTTCTAGCTGCTGGTACATAGATCAAAAGGAGCAAGCACCTAGAAAGCTGAAGCAGGGAAGTCACTGTGGGTCCGAGGACAGTCTGGTCTATATTGTGTGATTTGAAGGTAGCCTGGGCTACAGAACGAGACCCTGTCTTTAAAAAAAAAAAAAAAAAAAAAAGCCGCTTATCTAAAATGCTTATTATTGTACATTTCTTTTTTGTTATGGCTATACCAGCTGGCCAGTGAACTCTGGGTCATACTTTATGTGGGTTCTGGAGCTCTGAACTCAAGTCCTCCTTCAGAACTGTTTAATTACAGCTCACTTATAGGGATGAATCACTGGTTCCGAGCTTTTAGTTAGCTTTGGTAAAGTGAAATAGCCCATTGTCAAGCAGGGCTTAGTGAAAAAGTGCATGTGAGGGCCTGTCCTCTGCGCCAGAGTACTGAATCAATAAGCTGTTGCCATTTCAGTTCTGGATATAGTTTGAAATGGCACACACCTTTTTTCCCCAGCGTTTGGGAGACAGAGGCAGGGGGATCTCTGTGAGTTCAAGGTCAGCCTGCTCAACCAGGTGACTTCCAGGACAGCCAGGGCTACATAGAGACCATATTTCGGAAAACTTCAAAGAAAGAAATGCAGTTGCATTAGTAATATATAATTTTTAAATATATAATTTTAAAAAGTGAGTTACTTACATTTGAGTTCCCAATGACATGACCATACTCTTTCATTTCTAATTGCTGGTTGCTCAGCAGTCGTGGGAAGGAAGCTAAGGGCCAGACAGGCTGTTTCCTTAAAGCCCCTCTGTGGATTTGTAGTTTTCCTTCAAATGCAGGACTAGCTGAGGAGCCTTGGAGCACAGAGACCTGGAAGACTTAATTCTTCACCAGTGGAGTTGTAGAGAAAGCCTAGGCATGTGCAGGATTTGCAGTCTGTGTTTAACAAGCTGGAATCACTGATTAATGGCCAAATGCATCATGGAGATGTTCAACTTATGACCCCCCAAATATTTAAGCAGGGATGATCTGTTGCTAGGAGACAGTGGCAAAATATTTTCTGAAAGTCACCAGCTTCCTCCTTTTGTCAAGAGTAGAAGATACTTTGGGGCTGATCTGTGCTATGAATAGGGAGGAGTCTGAGTCGCTGGAGTGACCTCAGAGCCACTGTAACACTTACAGCTTGAGCAAGCTTGATGTAAGGCTCTGTCTCACCTGAACCCACTTTCTATGTTTTCTGTGCTTTTAATGGATGGTTCCCTAAAAGTTCCATGATGACCTGGGGGTTTGTTTTTCCCTTTGCCTGTCTTGGGGTGTGGCCTGGCTGCTGCCTGCTGGGTTGTGTGGGAAGAGATAGACTCAAGTTTGTGGATGCATAAAAATGACAGTGACCATCTGTGCTGGCTAGTGTTTTGTCAATTTGACAAAAGCTAGACTCATCTGGGATCAGGGACTACCCTCATCAGATTAGCCTATGGGTAAGCCAATGGGGACATTTTCTTTCTTTTCTCCCCCGTGCCCTCCCCACCCCCTTGGTTTTTTTGAGACAGGGTTTCTCTGTGTTACCCTGGCTGTCCTGGAACTCACTCTGTAGACCCAGCTGGCCCTGAACTCAGAGAATGGCTGCCTCCCCATTGCTGAGATAATTGGCAGTGGGCATTTTCTTGATTAATGTGGGAGGGCCCGGCCCATTGTGGGTGATGCCATCCCTGGGCAGGCAGTCCTGGGTTCTGTAAGAGAGCAGGCTGAGCAAGCCATGAGGAGGAGGCCAGGAAGCAGCGCCCCTCCATGGCCTCTGCATCAGCTCCTGCCTCTAGGTTTTTGCTTTGAGTTCTGGACCTGGCTTCCTTGCATGATGGACTATAACCATATAAACTAGAAGGTGAAATAAGCCCTTTCCTCTCCAAGTTGCTTTTGGTCATGGTGTTTTAGCATAGCCATAGAAACCCAAGACACCATCTTAGAGTTGGCACAGAGAACCAGTCAGGCTTCATTGGGCAGCACAGCTGGACAGGATGGAAGAGAACTAGAGAGAGGCCCATCCTAGACAAGGTTAGGCCGAGGAAAAGCAAAGCAAGAAAATGGCTACCTCGGAGGCTAGAGGGGAGGTGTGCTGTTGCCGTGAGCAGGTGTCATCCCAGATCACCATGGAGTCATGCAGCTGTTCTGTCGATGGCGTTGGTACCTCACCACACCCAGAGGGTCATAGACTGGCAAAGTCAGAGAGGGAAGCCACTCTGGTCAGGCTGGGGTGCCCCCTGGAAATTTACCTTTTAATACTGAAACGTGATTAACGTTTTCATCATCGAGTGAAACCAAAGGGTCTTCACATGCCCTGTCCAAACATCACACAAGTGTGTAGTGTAATAAGGGGGACCTCCTCGCCCTGACCCCCCACACCATGAGGTGGTATCCTTAGGCAGATAACTAGTGTAGATGGTTGGGTTTTCTTGTACATTCACTCTTGTAAGTTTGTACACACAACTGATTTGGTGTTCAGGAAATGAAATCATGTTATACATACTCTTGAAGCCTCTTCACAAACATGCCTGTCAGACATCTTCCATGGCAGTCATGTTATTTAAAGACTCTACTTACTGATTTTGAAGTAATTCACTTAAAGTCATATTTTCATATTCCCATGAATATCTCATAAAATGTCTGTTGAGTTTAAGAAAATGTTTTTAAGATTTTTTTTTACATGTGTGAGTGTTTGTCTACAGGTATGTATGTGAAACACATGCATGCAGTGTCTGAAGAAGAGGGTGTCAGATTACCTAGAACTGGAGGCATACATAGTTCTTAGTATGTGGGTGTCAGGAAATAGTCCAAGGCCTTCTGCAAGAGCAGTTAAATACTCTTCCCTACTGAGCCATCTCTCTAGCCAGCAAATATATCTTGATGGAAGATTACATTTGATTTTTGGCAAGTAATGATGGAGATTTATATATATAGTTTGGTTGGTTGGCTACTTTTCATGTTTTAAAACAGGGTTTCTCTGTAGCCTTGACCTCATGCCTGCCTCTGCTCCCAGAGTACTAAGATTAAAGGCGGGTGCCATCAACCCCACCTGCAAATGAAATTGAATGACATAAAACATACGTCATGTACATATGTACATATGTACATATAGACATGATTGTTTTAGTGATCATCAAACCTTATCCAATGCAGGTAATACTTAATATCTTGCCCTCGTGTATATGAGCTAATTGGAAAAATTACGTAAATATTTCTAAGGCCTTATCATGTAATGTGCAATTATTGGAATTTAAATCATGTTATTTGCAATTTTAAAAACTTTTTTGTAGCGGTGCCATGTGCTAGACGTTTTAGTACAGGAGATGTGCAGGAAAAGCAGAGACTAAATACATTTTCTCCGGTTCTCCCTTGAATCATTTATACCTACATGCCTACATATATAAGTATACTTCACATAGTCCTGTGTTTCTACAGGTTGGGAAAGTACCTTCTCTAGTAATAGATGTTTAATTTTAGGGTTAAAGAAGCCGAAAGGGGGTTTAAAATTTAGCGGTCAGTGCTTCCAGATCAAAGTTTCTTCTGCAAAGGAAGGCTAAAGAAGCCTGGCGGGTAGAATGAGCCACTCTGCAAAACACAGACTGACCAGATGGCCTTCCCTAGCCACAGGAACTCTTGATGAAACTCAGAACTCTTGGAGGCATGTCAGGCTCTTTTCCACAACTGGACTGGATATGATTTGAGGGTAGGACTCACATCTGTGCCGGTCTTCAATTAGAGGTGCAAAGTCAGTCAGTAGTTAGTTCCTAGAAAAATGTGCAGAGGTTATCCTAAACACCATAACTGCTTTGACACCAGGCATAGTGACATGGACCTTTTGTCTCAGCACTCCGAAGTTGCAGCGGCAGGTGGGTCTCTGTGAGTTCAAAGCCACCCTGGTCTAAGTAAGGAGTTCCAAGCAGCCAGGGCTACAATAGAGACACTCTATCTTAAAACAAATTACTGTCTTGGGGAGAAAATAAGTATTTGTACAAAAAAAACAAAAACAAAAAAAAAAAAAAAAAAACCAGGTTAGCCATCCTTTATCTAAAAATTCTTGAAAGCAGACTTTTGGGATGTTGAAATGTTTGCATATATATAGGGAGCTTCACTGAAGATGGGACAGCAAACATGAGCTGTTTATCACACACTTTATACGTAGAACCAGAAGGCAGTTCCACACAGTACTTTCAGAGCTTCTGCATTTTAAATGTCCTGTCCCATGAGGTCAGGGATGGAATTTTCCACTCCTGGCATCAGATTAGTGCTCAGAAAGTTTTGGGTTTTGAAGTGTTTTGGATCTTTGCGAAGTTCAGAAGGCTCAAAACTGTGATGTGTACATTGTATCCTCTTTGAACTTAACTGTGTGCTGAAAATATTTAAAAGCAGAGGAGAGGCTGGCCTGGTGGGGCTAGGTATGCAGCCTGACTCAAAACGAAGGAAATGACGTGACTAGCTCAGGACAACTGTTTCTTACATTTTATTTGTAGGCTTATTTATCGTTTGTGTAATATTATGTCCCAAGGCTGATTCCCGGTCTAGGACCTCTGCATAGTAAGTGTGCTCCTTTAGTGAACAGGACCTGGTCCCTGGATATGCAGCCCGTCTGCAGAGGTTCTTGCTCATGCGCATTCTTGGCATCATGGGGGGTACCTGCTGCCCCATTCCTGTTCCTTTGCTCTAATCTCTTACACTAAGAAAATATTGATCGGAGAAGGCTGAACTCCCCTCTGGGATCTTGCTGCCTTGCAGGACAGACGGGCGCCGGGAACAACTGGGCCAAGGGCCACTACACGGAGGGCGCGGAGCTGGTGGACTCGGTGCTGGACGTGGTGCGCAAGGAATGTGAGCACTGCGACTGCCTGCAGGGCTTCCAGCTGACGCACTCGCTGGGCGGCGGCACGGGCTCGGGCATGGGCACGCTGCTCATCAGCAAGATCCGAGAGGAGTACCCGGACCGCATCATGAACACCTTCAGCGTCATGCCGTCGCCCAAGGTCTCGGACACCGTGGTGGAGCCCTACAACGCCACGCTGTCGGTGCACCAGCTGGTGGAGAACACGGACGAGACCTACTGCATCGACAACGAGGCCCTCTACGACATCTGCTTCCGCACGCTCAAGCTGACCACGCCCACCTACGGGGACCTCAACCACCTGGTGTCGGCCACCATGAGCGGCGTCACCACGTCGCTGCGCTTCCCGGGCCAGCTCAACGCCGACCTGCGCAAGCTGGCCGTCAACATGGTGCCCTTCCCGCGCCTGCACTTCTTCATGCCCGGCTTCGCGCCCCTCACCGCCCGGGGCAGCCAGCAGTACCGGGCGCTCACGGTGCCGGAGCTCACCCAGCAGATGTTCGACTCCAAGAACATGATGGCCGCCTGCGACCCGCGCCACGGCCGCTACCTGACCGTGGCCACGGTCTTCCGGGGCCCCATGTCCATGAAGGAGGTGGATGAGCAGATGCTGGCCATCCAGAACAAGAACAGCAGCTACTTCGTGGAGTGGATCCCCAACAACGTCAAGGTGGCCGTGTGTGACATCCCGCCGCGCGGCCTCAAGATGGCCTCCACCTTCATCGGCAACAGCACGGCCATCCAGGAGCTGTTCAAGCGCATCTCCGAGCAGTTTTCGGCCATGTTCCGCCGCAAGGCCTTCCTGCACTGGTTCACCGGTGAGGGCATGGATGAGATGGAGTTCACCGAGGCCGAGAGCAACATGAACGACCTGGTGTCTGAGTACCAGCAGTACCAGGACGCCACGGTCAACGACGGGGAAGAGGCTTTTGAAGATGAGGATGAAGAAGAGATCAACGAATAGGGGGCCTCCGGACGCCACCGGGCACGCCTGCTCTTTCCTCAGCTCTGGTGGTGTGGGAATGGTGTCGTGGTCTAAGCTTGTCACAGGCCCCTCTCAAACCAAACACGCCGTACTGTTCCCCAGGTTACCTGGACCGGAGAGCTTTCCTTTACCGGAGAATTGGCAGTCCCCGCAGATGAGGGAGATTTGTACAGGACCACTGAAAGCAAAGTAGGGGGCCGTACCGGGCTGAAGGAAGTGACCAAGTGCCCAGCCATCAGAGCTAGCAGGGAGGTTAGAATAAGGGTTTGTTTCTCATCTTTGGTGATAAAAACTAGAGCCGCAGTGTTGCCTTAAATTGAATACACGATATGGAACTTTATGACAATCCATTCATAATAAAATGCTAAACCTGTTCCTTGGTCTCTTGAACTTCATCCAAGCAACGGGATATGTAGGTCTCATTGTGAAATACCCACAGATCTCCTACCAAAATACCTCATCTATCCTGGAAATAGCTGTTTGGAGCAGGGCCTGTTGTGAGTCGGGCTTTGGTGCTACCACTCAGGTAAACCTTGCCATCCCTGTGCAGAAGAGGGTAAAAGGCGAGGTGGGCACCACTGACGTCCCTGTATGTGCAGCTCTGTGACATTTTCCCAACAAGAGAAACACCACTCTCCTGCCCCTACGCTTGCCAGAACACGACACCTCTGTAATTGTGAGACAGGTGGGAACCACCGCATGAGGGCAGGAGAACCCCTGGGCCCTTGTCTCAGCTTTACCTGTCAGTACTGAACATTCTAACAAGCCTCTGAGAGCCGGTTCCTCCCTTGTTCTAGAGGTAACCTGGTTTCTGGCCAGTATTTCTCTCAGTAATGGCTCAAGTTCCATTACTGCTTCTCTGTCAAAGATCCCATCTCGTAAGAGTTCGTCTACCACCAAATACCCTTATGACCACGTAGGCCTTACAACCTAAAACAGTTCCCCGTTGACCTACTCTCTGAAAGCATCCAGTGGAGAGGAAGTAAGGTCTTGTGTGGTCCTACAAATGACCAGGCAGAGCATAAACGCTGGTGAGCTGAGGTGCCAAGGTGCATGCATCTCATCCACTTGCAAAGTAGCCATGGGCTGGAGTGCACACCATCAAGAACAGCTCCTACCTCCACTGGAAGATGGCCCAGGGATGGGAACGCCACTGTATTCTGTATGTCTAAAAGGGCATTGCCACCACATCAACATTACACAAGGCACGCTGGAGTACTTTTAGAAAACTGGCATGTTGGCTCACACCTACAACCCCTGCCCTCAGAAAACTAAAGTAGGATGTTAACAGCACGCACTGCTCTTCCAGATCCCAACAGCCATGTCAGGTAGCTTATAACTAACTCCAGCTCCAGGGGATCTGATGTTCTTTCTGGCCTCCATGGGTACCTGCACTCACATGCATCCACGCTCACACCACTTAAAGGCTGGAGAGACACTAAGAACACTGCTGTTCTCTCACAGGACCCAGGGTCCATTGCCAGCATCACATCCAAGGCAGCCTACAGTTGTCTGCAACAGCAGTCTCCAGAGATCTGACAGCTAGGACATCTAAGCTCAAACAATGGCATATGAAGCCGAGAGTCAACCCTCACAGGGCAATCTTTTTTGATTTTGTTTTTCAAGACAGGATTTCTGTTTCTAGCCTTTTCTGTCCTGAAACTCACTCTAGACTGGGCTGGCCTCTATCCGCCTGCTTCTCTCTGTATTTCCAGAGTGCTGGAATTAAAGGTGTGTGCCGCCACCACCACCTGGCACAGTGCAATCTTTATGACCCCCTCTGATGATTGACAACAGCAGCAGTTACCATGCATACCTCCAGCACTACCGGGGACCAAGATCTGACCTCGAGATGGCTCCGGGTAGCCTTGCCCAGGCAGCACAATGTACACCTGGTCATTGTGTTAGCAAGAATCGAGCTGAATCAGCTATCGCAGCTGCTCCCAAATCTGATTCTGGGATCCAACAGCACCAGACCAGGAAATGAGCGTGGAAGGCTGGAGCTCTCTGTGGTAGCTGACAAGGGCAGCAAGTGAGACTCTGAGGAATTCATCTCCAAAGACAAAAAACACTTAATAATTCTTGACACTGTTTTCTAAACATAGGCACAGCATAGTGACCCTTCACATATTCAGGAAAAAAGTACAATGTCCACCTTTTATTTCTGATGTAAAGAATCCATATTTACACCATACATTCATGTTTTTAAATATGTTACAGTTCTCTATAGAAAACCATTCCAATAAAACAGCAATAAGTGATCTGAATTCAAATTTTAAAATATTTGGTTGAATCAAAATATTCTTATTGGGATTCCAACTGAGTTTCACAGCACATCTGCAGAGATATCAAAGGAGGAGGAATGAAGAGTGGTTGATGGAGAAAGATTCTTCTCCCACATAGTAGGATTCCACAGGACAGGTGGTGCTGTCTCTCCTGGTCCAGCCACTGTTCATGGGACCAAGGCAGACGGGCAGGAGAGTCCCCATCCGAGCCCTGGGCGGTGCTGGCCCTCAGCCTGGCTGAGTCAGCAGCTGGCTGGGCATCAGGGCTGTTGTTCTGAAGGCTGCGACTGCTGAAACTGCAGCCTGACGCTCTGGGAGGACAAAGTAAAGGGGCCTCCAGCCCTGGACCTAGCTGCCAACCTTCTCATTCAGGGGCTCCTCCTTCTCCTTCTCCTCTTTTTCCCGCTCCTTGTTCCAATCCTGCAGGCCCTCAGGAAGAGAAGTGTCCTCATCCAAGCTGCCAGTGCCTTCCACAAATTCTTCATATGTGGACTTCTCTGTAAATGGTCTGGGGCCCAGTAGTTCAACCATATCATTCTTATCTAACACCTCTTTTTCTAACAGTAAAAGAGCAACCTGAAACACAAGCAATTTCCATTAAGTTACTCAGCAAAATCTGCTCAAAAGCTAAGATTTTTTACTCATAAGCTGACCTCTTTCTAATAGAAACCTAAGAGGCTGGGGAGATGGCTCAGTGATTGGAGCGCTTGCTGCTCTTGCAGAGGATTTGGGTTCAGTTCCCAGCACACCACCATCTCGTAACTCCAGTTCCAGGGGGTCAGTTCCTCCCCGTCATTGAGAGCGCCAGACATACACATTGTGCACACACATACGTGCAGGCAAACACTCACACACATTAGAAACTTTAATATTGAAAAATAAGACAAAAAGAACCTAAGATAATGGAACATGTCTCATAAACAAGCTCACATAATTTTAGAGTAAGATGTGACCTGTATGAAAGTCACAAGCATCACCGTAAGCAAACAGTGGTGACTCACTCCTGTAACTCCAGTACTCAGGAGGCAGAGGCAGAGGAATCACAGCAAGACTGATGCCAGCATGGTCTACACAGTGAGTTCCAGGCCAGCCGCGGCTACACAGCAAAATCCTGTCTCAAAAAGCAAACAAGGCCTGTAAGAAGGCTCAGCAGGTAAAGGCACTTGCTGAGCAGCCCTGATGACCTAAAGTTAATTTCGGGAACCCACACACAGGTGGAAGGAGAGAAGCAACTCGACAGAATTATCATCTGATTGGCATTTGTGTCTATGCAAACACGCACACACTCACACACGGCAGTGTGCAGAGAATTACCCACACGCTGGCCCCACCTTCTCCACGTCCGCCTTCTTCTCTGTGAGAAGAGCCACAGTTCTTTTATAGGCATCGTTGATGAGTATCCTCACTTCGTCATCTATCATCCTTGCGGTGGCTTCACTGTAAGGCTTCTCTAATACCATGTCCCCCTGGCGTGGGAGGTCAAAGGAGATTTGTCCCACCTTCTCGTTCATGCCAAACTGAACAATCTGAAAAAGATCAGAACTGTAGGTTACACAGAGAACCTTTACCCTTAAAGGCTTACAGAGGCCAGGGGCTGGCGATGTGGATACACTGTAGATGGCGGCAGAATGGGAGCACATTCAGAATGGGACACAATGGTAGACAAACAGTGGGCAAACTGCAGCAGCTCTAAGCCTGCAGGCTATTCCTCTAGTGGAGGGAAGTGAAGAGCCAGAAGCTCTTGGTCAGATCAAACAGCCAACGAGTTCTCCCTGTGAAGACAGTCTCAGCCCGAGCCCATGGGACCCAGGGCAACACCTGCATTTTTTTCACAAAGAGTCCATGGAGCCAAGGGACAACATGAAGAGACTGCTGTACTGTGACCCATGGGAGGTCTAAAACTCAACAGCACTGCATGAGGGAGAAGCTTCTGGAAATGAAAAGAGAAGGCCCAGGGCTGGAGAGATGGCTCAATGGCTGAGAACACTGTATGCTCGAACTGACACAGAGGCTCTCCACCATCTGTGACCCCAGTCCCCACAGAGGGAAAGCACAGGTTCCCCACGTTACCACATGCTAGCCCTCCCCACTTCTGAGATCAGAATGGACAGCAGGTGGATGTGAAGTTATTGTGAAAAAAAGACACAAGATGCAGAATAATGTTTCCAGGGAAGAAAAGTAGGATGCAAATACAGGTCTACAGCAGAGGAAGCTGTGAACCACTGTTCCAGAAATGAAACAAGCAGGGGGAAGCAGAAAAGACTCCATCAATCAGACATAGAACTCATGAGGTGCTAGAAGGCAGGAAAAACCTACACACGGGAGAAAAAAAATACTGTTTACAAGATTCAACTAGAAATAAACAAGAGCAAATAATAAGCAATAATGCCTAGGAGGTAATAAAATTAACATTAAAAATGATTTGTTAGGCCAGACATGGTGGCACATGCCTGTAATCCTAACACTCAGGGAAGCAGAGGCAGGTAGATCTCTTTGAGTTTGAGGCCAGCCTGGTCTACAAAGCTAGTCCAGGACAGCCAAGGCAACACAGAGAAACCCCGTCTCAAAAACAAACAAACAAAACAGAAAAACTAGTTAGAAAATATTATTTTCAAAATAAGACATAGAAGAAAGGCAAAGAGCTGCCTCAACAGAGAGCAGTTCCCAAAGAAGCCATTCATACCAGCCCACTGCTGGGGCTGTGGAAGCCTGCGGTGGAAGCTGAAGAAAACAGGAATGGTTACAGGTCAGGAGAAAGGCTGCTGCTGGGGGAACGGTAAGGGACAGGCCATGGGAAGATCCTGAGGTCAGCTGTCAAGCTGCTGTGGGTACCTGGAGCTTAAAAATTAAACTTTAGGGCTTTTATACAGGACCAGGATTTGGTTCCTGGCATAGATGTGGCAGCTCACAATCTGAAACTCCATTTCTAGGAGGTCCAGTTGCCTCTATGGCCCCAAGGGCACTAGGCACACATGTTTAACACATGCATATACCTAGCCAAAACATTCATATAGCACAAATGACAAAAGGAACCTTTTTAAAAATTAAACTTTGTATTATTATTTGTATGTGTGTCTGCACCCATGAG